TGGAGAGAAAATTAAACAATTATTGTTGATTTTCATAGTTATGATAATAATACTATTTCATAGATAGCTGTTGAAATTTTTATAGTTTAAGAACATGTCACCAACTGATTTTTAAAGTTTCCCCCAAATACTCAATACAGATAAAGCAAATATGACAAAATGTTAGCAATTTTTTATTCTATACGGACATGTGTTGCACTATTAATTCAATTTTACTAGAACTGGAAATTTTTTAAGAACAAAAGTTAGAAAAAATAGGGCCTCCTGGTGACTCAGGGGTTAAAGACAGTGCTATCAAGTTATTGCCAGTCACTACAGCATAAGAATTATGCCCTGCCCTCAAGGGAGCTAACCCACATGGCACAGCAGATCTCTTCTGTCTCATCCACTGCTTCCCTCAGCAGTGTATTTCAATAAATCTGCCTATTATGCTCCCTACTTTCTCTGGTGATCCTCTCAGTTCCCAAGCACCTCTGGGCTACACCCCAGCTCTTGTATGCATAAATAAATAAAACTTTTTTTAAAAAGGTTAGGAAAAAATATAATCATCTCGAGCCTATTTCTAATTGCAATATGGAAGAAAACCACAGCTCTTACTTCACTCTAAAAAAATTACTAAACACATTCTATGTGCAAGTACTATATATATCAATAAATAAAAGACATTTCTCAGGAACATACAGTATAGTGGAGAAACAAAAATACACACAAAATAATATACATCTGAGCATTTAGAGTCCTCAAGTCCTATGCTCTACAGTAAAATTATCCATGATTCATCAATTTAGTATCTCCATTGTCACCACTTTGGTTCAAGCCAACCTCCACTTTTGTATACATCTCTGAAACACTCCTAACAAATTTCTTTACTACAGTGCATTTTCAACAAAAGGGTCTGAATTATCTTTTTAATTGTGAGTTACTTTTGCAACAAATAATTCTCTCTCTCTTTTTTTAAGATTTATTTATTTATGCATACAGAACTGGGGTACAGGCCAGAGGCACAGGGGCTGTGAGAGGCTTCACCAGATATAGAGTGGGGAGAAGCACAGGTCGACTGATGAAGTACACTGCTGAGGGGAGCAGCAGGAGGGTCAGGAGAGGTCTGCTGTGCCATGTGGTCACTTCTGGAGCAGGTAGGGATCCAACTCATGTGGAAGTGGCTTTAGCTTCTTAGTGCTGTGCTTTAACCAGCTGCACCACTGGGGAGAGCCCGCTAATTCTCTCTTTTTAAATTTTTATTTTATTTTAAAAATTTTTTAAAAGATTTATTTATTTATACATACAGAACTGGGGTACAGGACAGAGGTGCAGGGCAGTGAGAGGCCTCACCAGAGACAGAACGGGGAGCAGAACAGGCAGATCAACGAAGTACACTGCTGAGGGGAGCGGTGAGGGTCAGGAGAGGTCTGCCACACCACGTGGTCTCCTTCAGAGGCGGGAATCGAACTCAGGCTGCAGTGGCTTTAGCTGCTTAATGCTGTTCTTTAACCTGCTGCGCCACCAGGGCCTTTTTAATAGGTAAAATAACTTCACTCCTCTGCCCCAAAATCCTGCAACATCTGTCCCTGCAGTTTCCTCTTGATTTTATTTTTCACTACACTTCCCCTTACTCACTCTAGTCATACCGGGGATCTTGCTGTTTTTCATATATGTTAGTCTCATCCTACTTTAGAATCTTTGTACTGGTTACTCACCACACAGTTGCAGCAACTTTCAACTCTGTATAAATGTCACTTTATATAAAAAGGTCTATCACACACGCCATTTAAAATGCAAAGGACACCCTCACCTGGCATCCCTAACCTCCTCAATCTGTTCCAGTTTTTTTTCTTCCCACCTCACTTATTACCTTCTACCATACTACCTAATTTATTGTTATTATCTGCTTTTCCACTAGAATGTAAGCCATAAGGACAAGAATGTTTACTTTGCCAAAACACCATGTTCGATGCATGATACACAACTCAATTTGTTGAAGAGATGAACTCACATTTGATATAAAATGTTAAGAATGAGCAGAAGTTGGCAAAAGACAGACCCTTCTATACAAAGGGAACTTATGTGGAAACCCAAAGATAAGAGAAACCAGAAGTAAGCATTCCAAACCACAAGTGGAAAACAGGCAAAAATTAAATAAGGAGTTCTAACTAGGGATTTCCAACAAATCAGTATCAGGCAACACAATAAAAAAGTGGGCAAGTAACTCAAACAGAAACTTCACAATAAAAAAATGAATAATAAACATGAAAAAAAAGCTTGTTAGTTGTTAGTCTTATTAATGATGGACAAAATACAAATACAACAATATAAAGTACAGTACACACTTACTGGAATGGTTAAAATTATTAATAAAGAGACTGACATTAACAAGTAACATTAACATACTGGTGGCAATTACAAAAATGGGTATTTTTGAAAAACCTTGCAAAACTGGGTCATATTCCATAACATGCACTTCATTTTCATGATTCAGTACATACACAATAGTAAGTCACTATGCATTACAACAATGTGAACACACAGATTTAGAAGTTTAGTTACTATATAATTTTAAGAGTTTAAACTAATTTATAGTGTTAAAAATCAAGGAGGTCCTCAGGCGAGAAAATAACAAAAATAATGAACAACCATATACCAGAGACATTTTGCGGGGGTGGAGTGGGGAATAGGATAAAAAACGGGATGGGGTGGGGGAGTGGGGAGGGAAGTGCAAGGGATTATGGTGATAGCACACGGGTGACTTGGTGATGAGAAACCCGCGGGGATTACAACTGAGATGGAAAAAAAATGTACAAAATGTTGTAAAAATAAACTGTTATAAAATAAAAAAAAAAATCAAGGAGGTCCTTAGATAATAAATAGGAAAAGTGCAAGGGCCATTTAAGTGCTTTTTAGTATATTTAGTCATACAACCATCTAATTCCACTTCCTTTTTCCTGACCTGATGTACTCACAATGTAATTCTTCAGCAAGCCATATAGTTTTGATTTATACACCTTATGACTATCACACGGTATTGTAACACGAGGAAAAA